CCCCCCCCCCCCCCCCTCTTTTTTTTAGCTTGAAAAGTATCTGACATTTGGTCCCTGACAAGGGTGCTGGTGCAGGTTTGGTGCAGCAGGCAGATGTAGCCAGTTACTCAACCAAACCACCTGAGAGAGTGAATAAAACTAGAAAGGACCCAGAAGGGATACCAATGAATGGAAAAGAAGTGAGAATTTCTGATAATAGTGCACAAACACTTTTTAATTTCACTATCAGTGTCTCTTGTATAACTTTGCAAACCAGTTTCTGGATGCAGAATGCCTGTTGAGACACACTAATATTTTTGTTGTTGTTGTTGATCCTGGTCAGACCACAAAGACAAAAGGTGATAATCTGCACCCCCCCCTGTCTTTAACAGTTCTCATTGCAATGTGTATACCCTAGAGAGCAAATCTACAACTTCGTAGAAGCATTAGCACCTTTTTGGGGAGTTTTAGGTTCAGATCTTTCTTCCTGTACATATTACATATCCCTACCCCTTACAGAACCGAGCATGAAAGGTTTCTGGGAAACTGGGCTCTGCCTTTTCACAAAAGGAGGGCAGACGTGCCCTGAAGTCCTCCTACACAATACCAAATATGCTGTGCATTCAACAGACCTGCTGGTTAATGATCTTGCCCATAAGTAATGTTTTAACCATAGAGTAGCTTTTGTTTGCTTCAAAAGCCACAAAGCCAAAGAGGAAGTGTAGGAGAACGTGGGCAGGACGGTGGCCAAAAGCCTCATGACCTCATCTTTTTCCGCCACACAGGGATTGGTGGCCGTGCCTGGGACAGGGTTTAAATTCCCTGAGGTCGGAGATGTCAGGCAGTCAGGGGACAAGGGGAGAAAGCCAGAGCTGCTGGGAACCAACTGGCTGGAGCTGCTGTGAGGATCACTAAGAGCATTCCTGTTGTAGCTGACTCTTCCAGCACCAGAAAAGGTAATTTTTTTTGCTTTTTAACCTGACTTGTGCCATTCTGTCTGTGCAGCTTTAGTTGAGGAAGCGTTGGGCAGGAGAGCTTTGAAAACTGCTTCACTGGACGGGGATGTTTGACGTTCCTCTGTGGGAAAAGCTGTGCTTTTATAGGAGAGAGGTTGTTTTAGCGATGCAAGGTTTTTATCCCATTTCTCAACCTGTGTGCTGATAGGCGTTAGGAGGAGCTTACTGAAAACCCTGCCACTGAAATAGCAATAACTCTAATAGGCAGTCCCTGAGACAGGACACTTTTACTAATGTGTTTTAAATGTGCCTTTAGTAGTTTTTATTTCCTGCTATGATTTGCTAAAATGCCTCTTGTTCATCAGTAAATCAGTTTAATTTCTCAGGGATGTTCCTTATCCTGGGAACTGGTCTGTCAGCACCAAAATTTACTGT